ATATGAACAACTGTAAAGCTACTTTTGCCCCACGCTATATACTCTACCACTTAACACACTATCACACTACCCAATTATTTTGGGTTTTCTAGGTCATAGTTGAGGCATGCATCCCACTCTGCCTTTGTTCATGTTGCACCCTTTACCCAGAGCTCCATTTAGACAGTCTACCTCCCTGTGGAACAAAACCTTATTTGTGCTTCAGTGTCCACCTCAAAAATATCTCTCTTTATGAAATACTTCTCATCCCCATATTCAATCTTTCCCTCTCCTCTATAGTACTTGCATATAATTATAATGGTTAATATGTGTCCAGTGCTAACAGCTTTACATGTACTCTCATTTAATCTTTAAAACAATCCTTGGGTAGATGTTATGCCCAACTTACAGATAGGGTAACCGAGACTTTCAGCACTTAAGTGAATTTGCCAAGTGTGGGGTGCAATTACGGTGTTTTGGCCAGGTTCAAGCCTTGGACTAATGAAAAGACAGGGTCCTCTCATTGCCACGTGCAAGTCCCACAATTATAGCCAACGGCTGTGGTTGTAAGCTTGAACCTATGGTCCGAACACGTAGTCCCACTTGCCTTGTGATAGAGTTCGGGTGCATGTAGTTAAGCGAGGTGGAAACTCAGAAGAATGCTGTAAACAACTTGCTCACGCCCCTACTTTGCCTCGTGGCATCTGCTATAAAATAAAGACACGGCTTGTGGGCGCTGGCGCTGTCTCCTCATCAGGGAGCAGCGTCCCACCGAGACCCAGCTTTCATTCTCTTGTCTGTCTTTTCTCAATCCTTTCACACACCACCCCCCTTCATGGCACATAAGGCGCCTGCCCCGCCACAGCCAAGTCACCAAGTTAGTAAATGGTAGTCAAGGATGGGCTCTGCTGCTTGACTCAAGCGCCCATTTTCCTTACCACCACCTTTTCGTGCCTCCTTTTAAAATCTCTTCTAAAGGGTACCCAACTTCATAGTATAATTGAGAGAATAAACCTTGAGAGCAAAGCAGAGCCCTGGTCTCCCAGATGTCTCCTGGCCACAAGTTTGGTGTTCAATAAGTATATTCTCAATGAATAAACTACATAATGGAATAAAACTCTTAGAGTAATCCCATATTCTTTAACTAAAACAATATACGGGTCTGATTTTCAATAGTTCATTCAGGCCTTTATTATACTTAACACTCTGACCTATTATTAAAGGCCTGAATAAATAGAGGGAATCTCATTACTTAATGGGAGCTTAGTTTTGGCCGCAAGTAAGACTCAGGATGGATAACTGGCTGATGACCTGAAATGCTGAATCATAAAACTGTTAAGTGACAAACTACAGATTTTTAAAAAGAATGAGCACATCCCTTGCATGGGTTTATCTCCCACATCACTTATATGCCTGCTCAGAATTACAGGGATCCACTCTAAAACACCCTTCAAAAGCTTTCCTTGTGTTACCTTCTCCAACTCATTTCATTTCTGCTGCAATATACTTTGCACATCCAGACCTAAAGGGGTGCAAGCGGTGGAAAAATGAAACTTTCGTTTTTCACTAGAAATTGACGGAAGGGGAGGAAGTAATGCATCTAGCAGGGTCTCGCGTGCATACATTCAGTAAAATCCTGATGGGGAAAATTAAAACAAAACAAGCAAAGCATCTTGGGGCTGAGATTCGTGTTAGCCTGCAAGAGGCGAAGCGCGTGGCAGCCACCATGAAAGAGTTCACTCTCTGGCCGACACTCGGAGTGGACAAGAAGGACCCTAAGACAAAAGAAGGCACTTTCCCTTTTCGTGAGGCACTGACTCTGTGCCAGACACGCGTGGTGCGCCTTATTCGAGCCCGCAAGATATTATTCTGCCTGTTTCACAGACAGGAGCTGAGGCTCAGATCAAAGGCGCTCGGCTGCGGGCAGAGCGGACAGCCCGAACACAGGGAGTCTGACTCTATGGCTTGAGCTCCTAAACCCTGAGCGGCACCGCCTGTCCGGTCACAGAGTCGCCCCAGGGCAGTAACAGGACACGCGTGGGCGCTTTAGCGTTTCCCCATCTCGCGGGTTGGGCAAGACAGGCATCAGGAGTGAGGTCAACGAGGCCTGGAGGGGCTGAGACTCGAACAAGGTCACAGAGAATTTCCGCCCGGGCTGGGAGCGGACCCCCGAGTCCCCGGCCCCCTGTGGGCGCCAGAGCCACAGAGCCGACCGGCACCGGCCGGCCCGCGAGGTCAGGCCTGGGAGCAGGGTCGCCGGCCCCAGGACACCGGCCGCGGGACCAAGACCAAAGTCAGGCCGCCGGCCCCCCCCCCCGTGGCCACCGCCCCTCTGCACCACGTGACCGGAGGTTCGCGCTCCCCCCCCCCACGAGCGTTCTGGTCCCGCCCCCAGGCTCACGTGATCCGTGATCCGCTCCGCTACCGCGGAGAGCGGGGCGCGCTTCTCTGTTGTTTTCAGCTTTGCGGTCACTGTTCCAAGTGGCCTCTTTAGGAGCGTGGCGTGGCCTGGATGGCGGCCGCTCGCCTCCAAGGGCGAGCTGCGGGAAAAGACCACTGGCACGTAGTGAGCACGGAGACAGTGCAATTAACGGCTAAATACTGATTATGTCGCAAGCAATCTCATATCTCAGCTTTACTATTGCTCTTTTACTCTCCTCCATATTTTCAGGTCGAAGCATAATAACTACCTTGTGTGTTTGCTGGTTCAGTTAATTTTTATTGGGCGCCCGGATACTGCAGTTTTCAGTCCCTACCTTCGTGGAGCTTTTGTTCGGTGGGTGAAGGCAAAAGTGAAGAGGAAGTAAATGCTTGGTAAACAGCAGTGTTTATTACTATCAGTAAACAAAACAATGGGAAACAGTATGGAAGACTTCGGGAGCCTTGAGAGTAATGCTGAAAAAAAGGGATAAAAACGGTTTGGAGTAAGAGGATTAGAAATGAGTAGGTCAGTTGGGCTAGGACACTAATCCAGTGTCTCCTACAATTTGACTGCTCATATGCTTCAAATGCTTGTTAAAAATACAGATATTAGTCCCCAGTCCATTCTTGAGTCAGAATCCTCAGGGGCAGAGGCCTGGAAACCTGCATTTTAAGAAGCCCCACAGATAATTCGTTTTTATCAAGAGCTTGAGAAAGAGTTCACTAATCCAAAGGAGAGGTAATACTAGTAAGTTCAAGTAGAGGACTATTTTATGGGTAGGGAACTAGTTGAAAGGAAGTGTGAGGCTTCAGATTAGAGCTGTGAAGGAATTTCTGCACTTTCAGAGAAGTTACATAGTCATGGAAAGGTCGGGGGTTGGAAACATGTAGACATGATTTGGAATCCTAACTTTGCCATTTCCTAGTTCCTACCTGTCATCTAATATTTAAAAAGGTTGTATTAAATGAGATAACATGTAAAGTACCTAACAGTGTAAGACCTAGCATGTGTCCCAATTCAATCAATGTTAGCTCTCCTTAACTCAAATAGAGCAAATTCACCAAAAGGAAAAAAAAAAATCTAAATTTACATGCATACATTCATTTTCCAAATATCTTATTTCCATAATAATAAAAATAGGATTCAATACCTGATAATCCCTCTGCCTAGAATTCTCATACAATCTTTAAAATATTCCTTATAATGGTCAGCTCTAAGAAGACTTCTCTAAACTCACTATCTGGGTTCAGCATCCCCCCTCTGTAGGCTCAGACCTGTATGCTCACTTTTGTGGTGAACTTACTTAGTTGAACTATAGTTAATATTCAAGTATTACATTGAAAGCTTCTTTTTTTTTAACATTTTATTGATTTTTTACAGAGAGGAAGGGAGAGAGATAGAGAGCTAGTTTCTATAAAGAAGTCTTCCTATTTATAAAGAAACCGTAAAACTAAGAGACTTGCCGAAACCGGTTTGGCTCAGTGGATAGAGCGTCGACCTGCGGACTGAAAGGTCCTGGGTTCGATTCCGGTCAAGGGCATGTACCTGGGTTGTGGGCACTTCCCCAGTGGGGGATGTGCAGGAGGCAGCTGATTGATACTTCTCTCTCATCGATGTTTCTAACTCTCTATCTCTCTCTCTTCCTCTCTGTAAAAAATCGATAAAATATATTAAAAAAAAACAAAAACTAAGAGACTTTAGTCAACATCTAGTCTAGGACAGCATTTGCAATCTTATTCCCCAGAATGTCATCAGTTTGGCTCAAATAAAATCTTATAATTGTTTTTTAATCTAAATACTCTGTTTTATAGAAAACAACAAAACAAAACTGAGGCTCATGGAGGTTAATAGGATTTGGCAGAATCAAGGAGTTAATTTTGCACCAGAACTGAAACTAGAACTCAGGCTTTCTGATTTCCAGGCCAGTGTTTTTTCAACCACATGGACCATTTAAAGTCATTAGAGCTTAGCTCTCCTAGGTGTGAATTAATTTATCTGTCCCAGAAAGTTCTCAAAGCCCAACTGTCCTTAATGGGTTGTTTTGTTTACAGATGTCTATTGGAGAAAGCACCTAAGTAATAACATGATGTCGATGGTTTGATTTTACTGTCAAAAACTACGAATGGTCTCAGTAGACTATCTTATCCTTCCTAATCAACTATTTTCAGAAAGAATGGCCTAAAATAACAACTCTAAAATGAAAACCTTTATGTCTTAAGATGGCAATCAGATTTATTTAGTTTGTTGCCAACAATTCCATGAAAGTTTGATCATTTTGTTACATAAGGGTTACATTTTGCAACTTCTGAATGATAACAGGTTTTCTAGAAAGATGCTCCTCAAAATCATGTTTCATGGTACATGAGATAAGTTTTTCTGTGCCTATGGTAACTGGTACTTTCTGCCTTGAACCATATTATGTCTAACCATCTTGGCCGTGTTTAGGAGGCAGATTTAGCACTTTTCGTCTTTGACGATTTAAGGCTTTTATGTAACAAGGGTTATTCTCACTTAAGCAAAAATGGCTCATAAAAGCCCAAGAGTAAGTAGTTGTGACTTGAGACACAGCTGCATTTGTGATCATATCATTCTCTCTTCTACTGACCTAGGTGTCATGCAATAACTAGATGGCCATGTCAGTTTAGCTACCACATCCTCTCGGCATCAAGTTTCTTTCCAAAAGTACCTGGCCATGTATCCATCCTTGAATCAGTCGCAAGGGCCAACGACTATGATGTGCTGGCTTACACCTAGGTCACCCACTCCACCCCTAGTCAGGTGTGGTCAGCTTCACCAGAACCATATGGACTAACAGTTGGGAACAGAATGCTTCCTCAGAGAAATTTGAAGGTAAGAGGATGAGGGCAAATGAATGAAGTAAAAATAACAGATGTCCATACCACCACCTATGTAGTCATGTGCTAGAACTCTTGGCTTCCTAAGAAAAATTCTAATTTCCCTTGAGTCTGCTTCATCAAGCCACATCAGAGAGAGCTACCTCCCAGCCTGAAAAGAGGTTGTCCTTTGTAGAATTGCTTTTACAGAATTGTACTATACTGGGATTTTCCACTGAGTCTAAGGTGCAGCCCTCTGAAACTTGTAACATCTGTAAACCTGCCTGGTTTGTTGGCTTGCACACAAGAATCAAGTTCACAAATGTTTTAGCATACATGTTTACTTAGCTCCAAGGATTCGGGTACAGATATCCCTAAGGAAGGAGACTCAGCCATCAGGGGAGCCTATCATATTGGCCTGAGGAACATGCATGTCTATGGAGTTGGATGAGCTGGGGAGGGCCTCCTGAGGTTGGTCAGGAAGTATTCTACAGATAGAATGATTGTATGCTTGGGACACTTGAAAATGAAACGGGGTGTTCACAGGAATGAACTGCAACTCTGCCAGGCAAATGGGGGCGCATTTCCAGGTGGCACCAGTGAACCTACTGAATAATGTTAATAATGCTCATCTGAACACATTCAACATAAGGCACATGTTCCATGCTCACTTCGTCTGAATACATCTAATTTCCAGGTATGGACAACTGCCCTTGGGGAGTTTAGAACACCCCGAATATCTGTCATTGTGTTTATTATCAGAATGCTTACCTATCATTTTGATAAGAGGATACTTGTGAGAAATTCTTACCCGATTTTAGTACTGAGGATTGTTCTTCCTATACCTGCATTTTACTCTTAGAGCTGAGGGACATTGTGAATGGTAGATCCAACGAGGGTTCTCTTTCTGCCCTGGCCACTCAGAAGCTTTCTACCCAAAGTAAGTGTGTTGGTCACCCGGGCACACACCTGTAGCCTCATTCCTGACTCATTTGCATTCCCCACCCTTGGGTTTTTCATGTAGAGGCAGGCGATAAATGTTTTTCTCTCTCCCCGTCTTCCTCTCTAAAAATAAATAAAAACATACGGTATTAAAAACAAACAAACAAGAAGCTGACGTCCTGCCCAGTGCTCAGGACAGGCGCGATAGGAAGCAGGATTAGGAGGCCCAGGCCCAGGACCCTGAAAGATCTGAGGAATCCACCTCCTTGGTCAGGGCTCATAACCACCATTATTGCCCCCTACACACACACACACAAGCATGTGTGTGCACCCCAGCCCAGCTATGGCCCTGGTCAGCATCAATGAACTGCCTGAGAACATCCTGCTGGAGGTGTTCACATACGTGCCTGCCCATCAGCTGGTATTGGACTGCTGCCCTGTCTAGGGCCTCTGGCGCGACCTCATTGACCTTGTGACCCTCTGCAAACACAAGAGCCTGTGTGAGGGCTTCATCACCGTGGACTGCAATGAGCCTGTGACTGACTGGAAGATTTTTTACTTTTTGTGCAGCCTCTGCAGGAACCTCCTACGCAACCCATGTGCTGAAGAGGGTCTGAGATCCTGGCAAATCGACTACAATTGGGGGACCACTGGAAGGCGGAGAGCTTCCCTGGAGGCCATTGGCTAGATTTTCCTACCTCTAAGGTCAGGAAGTACTGCGTCACATCCTTTGGATTATGCCTCAAGTCCCAGATGGTGTACCTCAAAGCTGAGGGCTACTGGGAGGAACTAATGGACATAATCCGGCCTGACATCGTGGTGAAGGACTAGTTCGCCGCCAGAGCAGACTGTGGCTGCACCTACAACATCCGAGTACAGCTGGTCTCAGCCCACTACAATCGCCTTGGCCTCCTTCGAGCCCCCACCTGTGACCATCCAGCAGTGGAACAATGCCCAGTGGACAGAGGTCTCTCACAACTTCTCAGATTACCCTCCAGGCGTCCGCCACATCCTCACCCAGCATGGGGGCAAAGACACCCAGTTCTGGGCAGGCTGGTATGGGCCCCGTGTCACCAACAGCAGCATCATCATCAGTCCTAAGATGACCGGGAACCCAGCGGCCTCCACAACGCAGCCCAAGACCACGCAGGAGCAGGAGCAGGGGCAGGAGCGGGAACGAGACGGGAACGGGAAGGGGGTGAGGACTTTAATAACTTGCCCTCCCCACTTCATTTCTAGACCCTTCTGACAGTCTGGATCTGATAGCCTCTCATCTGCCTCTGTCTCCGCCAGCCAAGTGCCAAAGGTCTCCTCCAGGCAAGAGATGAGCAGTGGGGGGCAGGGAGGCCCTTGCCCGAGGACCTCCTGCCACAGTTCTAACCTTGGGCAAACCCACTGTTGTGAAGCTCTCACTTCTTGTCATAATAAATGTTTCCAGTAAAACCAACCAAACAAACAAACAAAACACTGCAGGTGTACTCATGACCTGGGTGCATCAGCAAATGTCTACATGGCGGACAACACCCTCTCCTATTAAGACCTCTTTTGCTCTGGCCAGATCAGACAAAGGAAGCCATTATTTAACTCTCTTCCTTTAGTCTGTTCATGCAAATGAGACTAGACAAAAACAGGATTCCACAATCAGACTAACCCTGATTAGCAGGGTGTAGAAACCAGTTGCATTACCTGCCAATGAACTAGGAATCTGGGATAATTATCAGTTATCTTCTCTGCCCCTACTCCAGGATATTAGATTGCTAAATCATTGTCAATACACCCATCTGATGAAATTAAGCCCATGGGGCCACTAGAGTTAATATCAGGGATGAATCCAGAAATGCAACGAAGGCTTTCTTTGGCAGAGAAGCAGAGAACCAAGGTCACTGTCTAAATAGCTCAAGCTTTTTCTTTGAAAAGAGACAGCTAAAGGCACATGGAAAGACCTGCGATTTTTGGCAAGTGTCCTCATTCACACTATAGAGAGAGTAACATCAATATTCATAATGCTAAGGAAGGGGTGACCCTGATGCTTGCTGTTTTATGTCTTCCATCTTTTAAGTGAATTTGGATCATGTACTTTTCTCCACACAAAAATAGCTTTAGGTACATTACTTGTGACATACTCCCAGAGTTAAAGAGAAAAATGCCTGAAAGAAAAAAAAGGGGAAAAAAGGTACTCAAGCAATCACCAAATAAAAGTTGTTTATATTTAGTTAATACTAAGAACACAGATATCCTAAAGAAGAGACAATTAAGAAACCATTTACTCTAAATAGGATTTTGACCATAAAAACTAGTGATTCAAAGTTCTTAAACAGAAAAACACACAAATCTAGGAAAATGCAAAACATATTTTCTCTCTTACCAGAATTTACCTCTTTAAGAGATATCAATGTTAAAAATGTGCAAAGAAACTGTACCCATAGTGTTTAAACCATAAAAACAATAGCCAGTTTATATATGACAAAAACAAAATTAAAGCATGTAAAATAATGTGCAGTTTATAGAATTCAAAGAAAATCAGGGTGACTAAAAGTCAGGCAAAAGAAAAACAACTGGGAACAGGAGACATTTTGCAGAGCAGGATGCTCTGATGATGTCTATTGCAAGCCTGGAGGAACCCAGGAGGCTCTCAACCTGGG